TCCCTTTGCTTCTCCCTTACCCTGAGGCTCAGCTCCTGGGGCCCAGATGCCTCAGGAGCATCTGAAGGAATGTTCGTATTGGCATCCTCTCCCCCCGCAAACCACCAACCAACTTGTCATTTCTTCCAACCATTTAAGATTCATTTTTCATTTCCTCAGGAGCTTCATTTGTAACCAATCTCTAAATGGCCAGGAGATGATTTCTTAAAATAGCTTTATTGACTTTTTTTTTAAATCTGCATCTGTCTGTGAATTACAACCTTTCTGTGAAATCAGAGAGGTGAAGTCACTTGCCTAAGGCCACAGAGCCAGTGAGCAAAGAGCAGAATGCAGGTGTGTCTGGTTGTTGGGGTAGTGCTACAAATGGGAGGTAGGATAGAGCAGAGTGAGAAGGTGAATTGTGTGCCTCAGTTTGTCAAGGGCAACCTCTTTGTCCATCATCTGGGCATCCCAAGTTCCCATCCAGAGCCCCACACTCTGACCTCACTAGTCAGTCTGTGCAGGGAGGGGTCTTGGTTTAGCACCGGCCCCACCTGCTGGTTGATTTGCTGAGCCTGTCTGAGTCCAGGACCAGGGTGGAAGGGCAGCAATGCCGGACAGATGCCCAGGGCTCATTCTTCCCTACTAGAGACCGGGGCCAACCCAAAAGCCACCAGATAGAGAAAAAGCCCAGGGCTCTGGGTGGGTTTAATAGACCTGTATTTGAATTCCAGCTCAGAGTATGTGGCATTGGGCAACTTCCTTCACCCAGCTCTCTGAGCCTGTTTCCCTAGCTATTAAATGGGAATAAATCTCAGTTGCAGCAGCTGGATTGAGGTTTATGGAAAACAGCCAACATTATCCTAGGTGTGTGGGAGGTGCTGAATAAGTGATACTTTAGGTGGTCAATAAATGGCACTTGCCTTTGTTCTATCTCCTCCGTGCCCTCACTCCACCATCTGCCCAGGTACTCCCACAGACCAGGCCCAGGCCTCTCTGCTGGGCTTCTCTTAAGTCACCCTTCTCTGGTGGGGCCCAAAGAGCCTGCTCATTCCAGAAACAGCTGGCTTTGGAAAGATGCTCAAAAGCAAGGCAGAGAAGGTTCCTGGGAGAATAAGAAAAGCCAAATGTTGGCTATTTGTAACACCCTGGTGGGGGATCTCCAGCAGAGCCAACTCTGCTCCTCTCTGGTGAGGTCAAGGTCGTGGAGTCCTTGGCCCCAGGCCCAACTTGTCTGCTGTCTCTTGGGGTTTTCAGTTCAGGCAGGCACTCCCCCTCTTCATTTACATTGCTTCAGCTCCACTGTCTACACCCCCACCTCCTCCTCCTTCACTTGGCTCAATGCTGTATCCCGCAGGTGCTCTTCACAGGCACGCTTCCCATGAGAGACCCCAAGAACTCTGGATGGCTCTAATGTCCCCCCAAAATGACCAAGAGCCCTGATGTTTTTATGACTCTGGATGGCTCTAACTCTGCAATGCTCCCCAGTGGCTCTTCAGTCTTCCCAGTGGTCCCTGATAACTCCAGACCCCCCACCTCCAGTGCCTGCAGCCCCTCACTACTCCCAAAGGCTTCAATCCCTCACTGGTGGTTCTACATAATTCTCTTGTAACACAGGACCTCCTAACCTCTCCTTCCACTCTCTGGAAGGGGTCCCTTCTATTCTCATTGCCTCTCACTGGCCCCAAACATCCCTTTGTCCATCATCATGAACTCCAGTGGCCTTCTCTCATTTGAGAAACTATGGAGGCTTCCAGAGATCCCTAGTCACCAAAGATGCTTCAAGGCTCCTGAAGACCCTCAGATCTCCCCCACATGGCCTCTACCATCTGTTTCCCCATGGTCTTGAATGATCCATCAATGTCGATGGCCGTGCAGCACTTGGTGGCTCCCAAAAGTTGTCTGTGGGAAGTACATGGGACTTGGAGCCAGGTACCCCTGGGGCTGTTGTTACACAGTCCTGCCGCCATCTAGCTCTGGGACCCTGGGCACATGACTCTACTTCTTTGAGCCTGTCTCCTTATTGGTTGAATGTGAATATGATGCCAACTCACAAGGTAACTGAGGGCAAGGCAATACACATGAAAGGGCCCAGCACTGTTTCCAGCCCTGCACAGTTCTTCTGTGCCTGTTTACTCCCTTTCCTGTGGCAAGCTGAGCCCTTGTTCAGTGAAGGTCCAGTCCCATGGAACACCTACTATGTACCAGGACCTGCACCTGATGAGCATAGTGTTACCTAACTCCCTTACGCTGTCCAAGAGATTGGGGAGGGGCCGTCTGAGCCTCACAGAGGATGAAATTGCACAAGGGGATTATAAAAACAGATCAAGGATGGGGAGGACTTTGGTTTGCACCGTGTTCTCCCAAAAGCAGTTTTATGCCTCTACCTTTGCTCAGGCTGTTCCTTTATCTTAAATTCCCTTCCCTGCCTCATGAAATCTTCCCATCCCTCAAGGTGCAGCTCAAGTCCCATACCCTTGGGTAAGTGGTTGGGTACATTGGCTCTATTTAAACCCAGTAAACCTTGGTTCAACCCAGCTCCTCCACCTTCCAGGAGGTTTAACTAGTATCATTTTAGTTATTTTTAGTTTCTAAACTTCAGTATCTTTATTATGAAAAATGGGATTAATAACACTTACTTCTTAGACTTGTTGTGAGGCTCTGATGAGGTAGTGCAGGTATGCTACCTGGAACATAATAGGTGCTCAACCAACAGCTCTTATTCCTACCCTTGGCACTTGCTGAGTACATGGTCCCTGGCATGTTTTGCACTGCAGCTTCTTGTGAGGATGGTTCTGACACTTCAGCTAGCCTGGAAGCCCTGAGACTAGTGCATGTGTATCCCCTACAAAGTAGACCTTATTCAAAAGGGAGAGGCAGAAAAAAATCAAGGGTTAGCAACAAAGACTGATTTTGCTCCCTACTGGGTAACGAGCTGCCCAGGCCAAGGGCTCGTTTGATTTTTAACAGCCTGAAGTTTTTCAGGGGGCTTCTAGGGGAAACTTGAACCAGGGAGGCTCCCTCTCTAGGTTCTCATTTTCTTCGCCATTCTACTGATGGGTAAGCTAAGGCGCAGAGAAGTAGGCAGACTTGCCCAGT